GCTGGCTGGCGGAGATTGGGGGGCTGGTGGAAGCAGGGCTGCTGGGGGGCACCAGGTCAGCGCTGAAGCCCAGGATCAGCTGGGGATTCCCTTGCTGACCCTGGGCTCTGTGCAGCGCTGCCGCTTTGAAATGCCGCAAGGAGCCCGACACCACACTACTGCTTTGAAATGCCATGGGAAGTCTTGAGTCAGCTGATCCTGGGCTCCATGCGGCATTTCAAAGCAGCAGTGCAGCACGGAGCCCCGGGTCAACTGTGGAGTCCCCAGCTGATCCTGGGTTCCATGCGGCACTGCTGCTTTGAAATGCCGTGAGGAGCCTGACGCCGGGCACCCTGCAGCATTCAAAGTGGCAGCACCACACGGAGGGGACCCGACTTTTAAGCCGGCTCCCCCCAGCATCAGCTCCTGCTCTCCCCAAGGCAACAAGGGGGGGGGAGTGACTAGTCAACTATCCAGTAAGCATCCTCTCAACTATCCAGTAAGCATTTCCTTATTGGATAGTCGACTAGTCCTTCACATCCCTACCTACATGTAGAAATGAAAATACTCTCACTGTTGTCTGCCACTAAATAACACTATAAAAGTCCACTGGAATAACCTATATCTAGAACACATGAGAAGACACAAGCATTGTGTAATCTAGGCTATGGGTTTGGTGCGCACACACTTCCAAAGACACCTCCATTTAGAAACTTACAGAAACCCTAATTACTAGGGAACGTTCCTATATTTGGTCCAATTTAAAAGATATTAAACACCTCATTACACTCTAGCAAACTTCACAGAAGAGATTCTACCAAATTCAGATAGTTCCTCCAAATATTGTTATTGCCAAAGGGGAGAGGGTACTTTTTGTACATGTTATGGGCAAGGATGCCAAATAACATTCTGCTGGTAAAGAGCACATACATACATTCATTTGACAGACAAAATTATTCTACAAATATAAAAGAGGAAGAATTTCAACTTAGAAAATATTATTGAATATTGAATAATATTGAATGTAGATATGATGAAATACAAACTATTCAAACGAATATAATTTATTGATAGACATAGCTTAGAAGGTATGAAATATAGTCAGCCCCAGATGCAGGTTTATATTCTATGCTTTGCCAAAGCTTAGGCACTATGAAGCCAAGTCGGGAGGTCATTTGTGTATCCTTCTGTCTGTTCATCTTTGATGGAGACACATCATAGGCTTCTCTAAAATGTTCAGCTGCCATTGGTCCCCAACTTCTAACTTCAGTGGGACTGCTCACACACTTATCATTAAACATGTGCATAAATGTTTTCAAGACTGGGCTTAAATGCAACAGAATATTCATATTATTGATACCTGCATTTGGATCAAGACAACAATATTTTAAAACTAAGATACAAAAGAAAAAAAGTGTGTTAATCAAGTATAACTGTCCCTTACCATGTCTGTAGCCAAACTTAGTTGCAAAGGCAGTCATTCATCAGAGGATGAAATAGAGAAAATTAGTGAGCATAGAGGTCAGTCATTACAAGTAATAAAAACTGATTGCTCTTATTTAGTCTTGCAATAATATAATTTCTAACAGGATACCTTTATTAGAAGCAAAAAGCAAAACAGTTTTGCAAAACTAGGAATCTACTGGCCTTCCATGACACTTCCAGGAATGCATATCTTTAAGGGGACTTCACTATGCAGGTACAGGTAGTAATTTCATATTTAGTCTGTCTACAAGCACTGAATCCACCTATGGCATAAACAAACAAATAGTTGATTACAAAATTGTGACATTTAACCAAAACAGAACAAGCATCCGCCTTATGTATTTGTATTCAATAAGAACCAATAAATGTCATATATATATTCCAATTCCCACCAGCTAACCCATTAACCATTCACATCCCTAATACAGACTGTATAGCATTGCAAAATTATTTATCCATAAATATGAATACTGTTATTGTACTGCATTTCTGTTTTATTTGTTCTTTCATTTGCATAGAAAAACAAAGATAAGCACTAAATGGAACAGGAACACTTGTTTCAGTATTTCAGTGTGATTTGATTCATCTTACGAAATATAAACCCTTTAAATCAAAGTTACACAATACTGTAAGATAAAGATAATGAGCAGAGACTGCTTTTGAAAAACTTTTGATCTTCTCACCTCATGGAATAATGCCTAAGGGTACACTGGTTCAACACATTGCAATGGCCTTTGAATTCAAGAGGTGTGTGTTAGTTAAAAGAGCAATAAGATTCAGGGTCTCAGATCTAGTCCTTGGCAGACAATGTTGTAGGTGGTGGAATTTATATTATGGTGCAGCATATGTCTGAATGGAGAAGCAAGGCATCAAGGAGGGAGTGAGGGTATATGGAAAGAATAGATAGGAATGGACTGCTGTGTGGGTCACATACTGATATAGGGTGTGTCTAAAGTATACCCCCTGTTGGCAGAGGGATGTTAATTAAACACATCGAAAGTGTAAATGAAGCGGGGATTTAAATATCCCACGCTTCATTTGCATAATCGCATCCTGGCGCTGTTTTGAACAAGCGCCATTTCGAAACTGAAACCACGATATAGACGTGGTTTTTCCGACAATGTGGTGATTTTTTGAAAAATCAATGAGGAGCACAGGATCGTTTGAAAAATCACCCAGTTGTCGGAAAAACTGTGTCTAAATCGCGGTTTCAGTTTCAAAATGGCGCTTGTTCAAAACAGCGCCAGGACATGATTATGCAAATGAAGCACGGGATATTTAAAACCCTGCCTCATATGCACTTTTGAAACGTCTAATTTACATCCCTCTGCCGACAGAGGGGTGTAGTTTAGACGTAGCCATAATGTCTGGAACAATGCCCCAGTAGCGTTTTTAAAGTAGGGATTGTGATCGCGTACTGGGTTGCAGAATGTCAGGCACTGGGTCTCGTTGCTACAGGGTGATCAGTGGGGTGCTAAGGAATGCTTCCTGCCTGTCTGCAGATTTTGCTGCATCCCAGAAGCAGCCAGCAGCAGACCCGGCTCTTCGGGATGAGGGAGGAAGACTGCACAGGGGTCTGCACACTGCCCCTGCCCTGAGTACTAGGCTCCACATTCCCATTGGCTGGGAACCTGCTGCTAGCTGCTCCTGTGGTGTAATATGGGTCTGTGGTGCCAGAACAGGCAGGAAGCTGCCTTAACACTCCTGCTGTACTGCTGACCTGGAGCCACTTGAGATAAGCCCCTCCTTCCACAGTTGCGACCCTCCCCCCAAAGCTGGAGCCCCATCCTACAGTCCAAAGCTCCTATCCTCAGCCCCACCCCGGAGCTCACACTTTAGTCAAATTATGTTGGTTTGCAAGCATCAACAATTTTCTTCAACAAAGTCACGAAAAAAAAAGTTTGAAAACCACTGGTATAGGCAATAATGCTTTGGGAGATAACTCCACACAAAGTGCACTGAATGTAAATATTCCCACCTGACCCCTGCAAGGGATTAAGTCTCACCCTAGAATATTAGATTAAATTATCCATAGTGTAGTTTAATATTTACTATTTGCATTATCATAGCACTTAGGACCTGAACTCTGTTGTGCTAAATGCTGTACAAACACAGAACATTCCCTGTCTCAGGGAATCTTACAATCTATGTAAGGCTAAAGAGAGTAGGTAGATAGGGGGATAGACAGGGGAGTACAGGGAAATAATGATATACTGATTAGCATAAGAGACTGTGGCATCAGTGCACCAGGGTCCTAAAGTCAAAGTTTTTGTAGCAGAATACAGCCATTCAGATTTTCCATGGCAATTTTGTCCCTCCCCTATTTTTTACCAAATGTTATCCCTTTAACTTTTCCTACTACTTTTTCACATTTTTTTCTTGCAAGTAGGAATAAGAGATCCTCCGGAAAAGGGCTTTATTCCAGAGGATCGCGCCAGTCTAGACACTCTTTTCCGGCTTTTCCCCAAGCCGGAAAAAAAGCGGCGGCCATGTTTATTTAAATCCCACGGGGGATATTTAAATCCCCCGCGGATTTCCCTATTCTGACTTGCCTGCTTTGCATGCCTATTCCGTCTTATGTGGCCAGTCTAGACGTAGCCTTGGAGTTTAGTTGGTTAGAATACAGGAGGAGAAGCGAACAGGTTGATTATTTGTGATATCATAGGAATAGGCTTACTGTATAACACAGAAGCTTCAGAGGGTAGTCCAGTTTGTTGTTTTTTTCTGTACAGACTAATGGTCTGGTAGCTCTTTATAGACTAATCAAAACAGGCAGATTCTATCATAAGCTTTCGTGGGCACAGCCCACTTCTTCAGATGACCGGAGTTATAACACAGCCACATCACCTCAGGAAGATGAGGGCATAGCACTGCAACTGGAAGCAAGCCGACAAGCTGCATAGACAAACTGAGGGTAGACTGATTATTTGAGAGATGTGGGACAAAACTGTCTGGAACCAACATTTTCTGTGGTGCTCTAGGCTCATGCTCTAGGTCAAACAGGGATTCACATTGTTTTGTTACAGTAGCTAGGCTCTGTGATGGTACTAATGGGGGAGGGGGAGGCAATTGGCAAGAGTCACATACTGTACATCTTAGCTTCTCTTGTACTGACTTCTTGGTAACAGCGGTTTGGGCACGTTCACCTGAGCAGGGGCAGGCTGGCTGCCTGTCTGAGAGCAGGTCTGCTTGGGCAGGGGCTGCAATGGGAGGCTGGTTTGCGCTGGCCCGGAATATCATTCTGCCAGACCTGGGGGGGGCCGCACAGCCGCTCCCAGCTCTGCCAGCAATCCCGGCGGACGCTTGGCTCCTCCAGCCGGGCTTGCAAGGGGCTGGGACTCCCTGAGCTGACTCCGCCCGCACCACATGACTTCTCCATCCGCAAGAGCAAACTTTTCCCGTCCCGAGGCTGGAAAATGGCGGCTTAGGAGCGGAGTGCCCGCATCCCATCCCGGCTCGGCGCCTCCCCAGCGCCATGACTCGCTGGGTGCCCACCAAGCGGGAGGAGAAATACGGCGTGGGTGAGGCCCTCTCCTCAGCTCCCCCGGGGTCCCGCTTGTTTGCTTGGACTCAAACTTTGCACAAGTTTGTTCTCCAGCGGGGAGTCCCGGAGTCGGCGCTCCCTGCCCTGCTCCGGCTGCCGCCTTTATTCCCTTCCCTTCTGCCTGTTGTCCGCATCTGCTCCCGGCCCGCGGCGAGCTCTGCCCGGGGGGTTGCCCTGCCTGAGCTCGCGGCTGCAGCCCTGTGCGCTGGGCTGGGGCGGAGAGGGCGGGCAGGCGCGTCTCTGCCAGGCCTGGCGTAGCGGGGGTGGGAATGGGGAGCCGCCGCCGCTTCCCTGAAGCTCACATTGGAAATCGCATTTCCTCCGCGGGATTGGCGGGCACTTCCGTGGCACTTCGCTGCTAAGTAACGTCCCGCGGGCCGCCCTTCCCTAAGGCTGCCCAGGGTACAACGTGGGACCCGGGCTGTGAACTTTCTAGTTGGGCATTACCCTGCTCCTGACAAATATCTCAAGTCCCGTCCCTCCCCACATCAAGCCTGGTTTTGATTTTATCGGCCTTGACTAGCAGGAGCTATCTACATGATTCGCCTCCTCTTCCCCCCTGTTCATTGTGCAGCCTAATTGCAGGCGAGCACAGGTTTTGTCATCAGTGTATTACAGGGTTGTTACCCCCTTTATTTACGGCTTTGAGTTTCTAAATGCGTACTTTGAAAACGTCGGAGAGGGTATATGTCAGTGACCAGGAAAACAAGGCTGCCAGGAGTTATTGCCCTATCCCTTTTTTTTGCTCCATTTTAGATGAGTAGAATGGGATACAGTTAGCTTATATCTGATTTTTTGAGAGAGCTCTGCTACTAATGGGTGAATAAACTGTAACATTCTAGAACTGATCCCAAACATTTTAAAGGGTGTTTGTCAGTTCCTCTCAGAAAGTATTCATAAATGCAGGGTGTATAAACAATGCTTATCATGCACAAGTGAATATTTTGACAACATTGAGCACACTCTGTCTTCATTATTCCACATTAAGAAAAGCAAGATTTGGGGGTAGAGAGAGAAAAGGGCGCACTGTTCTGCAGAAAATAATAATTAAATATTTCTCAGTTTCTATCTTCACATCTTCTATCCCCCTGAAATGAGAGGGAAGAATACATCTGGCTTTTAATTCAGAAGTCTCCACATTAAAGTCAGTATTTTGGAAGAATATTCAGATAACTAGAAATGTACTGAATTTCAAAAGCAGATGCTATGAGTAGAAGGGAGCAGATTATATCTTGCATAAATACGAGTGTTTCTCTTGAGGAAGGAAATATAAAATCTGCAGTTCCATTTGGAAATGTTCATTTGAAAGGTTTTTTTTCCGGACAATTAGTAGATCTCTTAGCAACGTTGCTTGCAAATACGAAGATGAATTTTAGTTAGATCTCTTAGCAACGTTGCTTGCAAATGTGAAGATGAATTTTAGTTTGACTGGTTCTTTATGTGTCTAAACCTTTTTGTATTTATTTACTTTTTTTGAAGAACCACTGTATGTTATGGAAAAGGAAGTTCTGGGACTGGGCAGGAGGAGCATAGTGAACTTCAGAGGTTTGTGTTGGGTAGTGCACAGATGTTAAGTCTTTGGGTTAGAGTGTCCCAAGTTTAGTAGTAGACCCTTTCTGCCCAGATAATACACAGAACAGTATTTTGTGTGCAAGACACCCAACTTCAGTAACAAGGAAAATGAAAAAGGAATTTCAGAAATTAAAGCTGCTACGGGATGCATGTATTTATTTCAGATCACACGGTATATAAATTCACATCTGTATCATCTGAATTATTTAAACATGGTGGGATGAATTAAGGCAGTGCCACAGAACTACTGATTTATATTCAAGTGTAGATTTTATAGAAGGTCTTTCACAAGTACAACAGTGTGTAATTCTGTTTTGCTGTCTCTTCTCCAGTACCACCAAGGTGCATTTTGGAAGTTTAATGGTAAAGCATGGACAGTTAATTCAGTTTCTAATATATAGTACAATACAGTTAACTAAAAGCTAGGAAGCTAAAAATTGGGTGAGGAATTTGGAGAGCTTGCTGTTCAGGAGCCAAAGTGATGTATTTTGGTTTCTTTGGGGATATGTTGGAGTAGAGAGTAAGGATTAGTAGTTATAATTTAATTTTTTAAGTAAATCTGGTATCCATTGTGGGAAACTATCACGTTTCAGAGATCTGGACTTTACTGATTGAAATGGAAATACTGGTTTTGATGTTTATGAAAGAGGGAGTATTTTGGAACTACCTGACACATTAGTGTTAAATCAGTGTTTTATCTCTTTATAATAGGAATAATTTCCGAGTCTGTAGCAGAATGGTGCAGTGTCTTTATATTTCTTAATTCTAAATATAAGTTTAGTCCATAGTCTAATGATCATAGAAAAATCTCATGCTTTTATTTGGTGTAACAACTTCCTGTTTTTTTCCACATTAGCTGTGAATGATGATCACTAGCTACATTATGGAATTTCTCTAATGAATTTCAAGGGTGTGGGAGTTGAGAATAGATGTGTTGTTGCTATGAAGGAAAATTAGATTTGATGCTAAGTGAACATAGACATTTTCATTTGCCTGCACTGCACTGTTAAAATCTGGCTCTCAGAACAGGTTTAGGATGAATATCCTTTTTTCTGCATCACTGAATTTCCTTCTAAGGATGATTAATATTTTCAATTTGGTTGCCTGTTTTTCATGTCTTTGTATATTAAACTAGGAGATGTCTGTGTCTTGCCAGATTTTGTTTTTTTTGGGAAGACTTAATACTTCTGAAATGTTTTAAAAACTGTTTGTGCATACCAGTTTTATAACAGAAGAAATAACTTTGATCCATGGAAGTAAGCTATTAAAATGGACATTTTCATAAAGAGAGAAAATACCTTCCCATTTAAAAATGCATTTGTTTATGGATAAATGAACATGAACAAGCATCTTATTTTGTACTAAAATTATGTGTGAGTAAAAGCTAGTTAAAAGGTTGGTAATAGAGTGTTCCCACTGAAATTTCTTTGTTGGAAGTGACTTGACTGACTGCCTTTGAATCCATTAAAAATCTCAGATGTGAAAAGAGTCTTGAAACCTCTTTCTTCTCTCAACTTCTCTTTGCTTTTTCTCCTCTTTTCCGTCTCTCCTAACTCTGTCTCTTCTTTTCCTTTCTAATCTGAGTTGTGTTCTTTATTTCTTCCCATATGGTGTAGCCTCTGACATCAGGGAGAGGCTAATGGGATTATTGTGGAAAATGATGGATGAAGTGAAGTTATTCTGAGTTTTCTAATTCAGTTGCCTCTTTCCATCAAAGAAGTAAAAAATCCCTTTAAACAGCCTAACTACTTGCCATGCTGTCTTGGAAAATGCTGCTAATAACATTGACTGTGGAACAGTATGATCCGATGGTTTGAGAATAAAACAGGAACATTGATCACTTCTTCAGTGAGATTTTTAATCCAATTGCATTTGGCTTTTAGTGTTGCATATTAATTTAATGTTTAGCCATTTCACCTTTTATTATAAGTGTGCTACCTGTAAGAAGGAATAGCCATCACTTACAACACTCCTTTCATTTATTTGTTGTTTTTTAATACTTCCGTTGCAGTTATGGTGGCTCAGGAAAGTATTTTCTTTCCTTTGAACTGTATGCTTCTGTACGTGACTCATGTTTTTAATATATCAAGTTCCACAAACTTACTGACTGTATTGATATGTAGCTCAATAATTTATTATCTGTATGTGTACTGAAGGGTAGTGGTGTCAGTATGATATTGTGGTAGGCTATAATGTCCCAGAAATGGTGTTTCCTCTCTACTAATCTTTTGGTGTGGGATTTATAAACAATTCTGAATATCCAGTGCATGTACAAACTAAAATTGCTGCCTCTATGAAAGGCATTGTAATGCAGTTTATAAATATTATCACAGAATGCAGTTGTAAGTGTGACTCAGCTTCATTTCCTTCAGGAATATAGCACTTCTTACAGGAATAGCTCAGGCCTGCAATGGGCATGGGGAGGAGCGTATTGTCTCTTAGCAGGCTGAACATCATTATTGGATAAACACAAAGCATAATTTAAACTACTACAGTAAAACTCCGATGGTCCGGCATCTGACGGTCCGGCACTCCTGATGGTCCGGCACCATCAGGAACCCGGAAGTGCTCCAGGCAGCCGGACCATTGGAGCTGCTCTGCCCCCAGATTCAGCTGCTGCTAAAACTGACCAGCGGCTGAATTTGGGA